AATATTTAAGATATGAAATTAAGCTAAAAACTAACACTAATAAAATATCAATAAACTATACAATGTATATACTAAATTTGTATACATAAAAGAGAAGAATCAAGTGAAGACAACAGCTGAATAACTTCTTCATTACTCACTTCAATCAGGCTTAAGTGACTGTTGATCAGAGGGTTCAGATTTTCTTCATTGGATGATTGACAAGAGGAATAATCTGTTTAAATTGAGTTGAAGAAATGTTGAAAAGATTCGGCCTTTTTTGTATCGTCAGTGGTACAGATTCCTTGGTATGACATTTCATGAGGTAATCGATAACCACGAGTTTTGAAAGAGAAAAAGGACCAAAACCTTTTAGGATTTGAAGAGGCATTGTTTGCCAAGTCATCCAAGCGAATCCAGTTTTTAATCCTCTGCCTTTGAAATAATTGTTGGTATGGATCCCAAATCACAAAATACTTTTAAAACTCGACTCTGTGAATTGAAGTTGGTAGCTTGCAATGGAACCAGAGGGACTTTTGCCAAATTTTGTTTCTTTCAATTCAGGGGTTGCAGTTGTATCCAAGATTTGAGCTAAAGGCATATTGGGGTTAATGGCCATCAGGTCAGCTTTTAAATTCTTTTCGTCTTTCAACTGAGATTTTAGGTTAATTCAGGCCTCATATAAAAGACATTTCAACCCTGGTCTACTTGCTGTGGAATCATCTAATTTGGGTTTCTTAACCATGACTTCCATGACTGGCTTAGGTGTTATCTTATCACCTCCTTGTTTTGCCAATTTAATTTAAGAGATATCGTACTTTCAATCCAATTGAGTCAAACGAGTCCAATTAACTCCATATCTTTCTCAAATTTTCAATTTGAATTCAATATTTATTTAGACCTGTTATATCATTCACGATTTGTCTATTTTCTTTCTTTCGCTGTCAATAATACCAGCTTGTTTCAATTAAATGTAGGTTGAGTTGTTGTCTTACTTTTTGACAAACTGTGCTTTCGTCTTCAGACCTTTAGCGGGATCTTCTCTGCATTTTAGCCAGAATTTGAGTTCCTCTACTTTCAGATTAGCTTGAGCTCTTTCACCAAGTGACGATCCGGGGATATCTGTTTCTAAAAGCTTTGGATTGTTTTAATCAGAGCTCATTTTATGTCAAAACGCGCGTTTCCTTCAAGGGAAAAGGCGCCGCAGTTCAAAACGAGGGCTGACCGACCTCGCTTTCGTGCAAACTCGTTTCCAGGCTTCTCATTGACATTCTTGTTTTGTAAAGCGTGTATAAAGGGTTGAATAATTGAATGCTGGGTTGAATAGTTGAATTGACCGCTGAATACTTGAATGAGTAATTGAATTGAATAACACGTTGAATGATTGAATATCTTGTTTAATGTTTGAATGAGGGACAATATTGAAAGGACCTTTTTGTATTTTTTCCTTCTCACTTCCGGCTAGCCTTTCTTTCTACTTCCAGATGATGCGAATAATTTTGTACGAATTCGTGCCAGCTCTTACAAAGATGATATGGTATCTCTAAGGCAAAAATCATTTCCCTGGTTTCTGTAGATTTTTCTGGCTTTTACAGGGAAGGGTTGCTAGCCCTTCGCCCAACGTTCCTCCTTTCTTATCCAGGCTTGGGACAGGCCATGGCGGAGTTAACGTGTGACGTACTAGCTTGTTACTATGAATGGGAGCCCTGGCATTAAATACTAGTACAAATAAATAGAATAGATAAATACTAATAGATATATAAGTTAAATACTATAAATATGTGTAAATATATAGTAAGTCATTCCTGTAGTATAGCGGTATCTGCGTGGAAATACACAGAAACGAGGCTATCGGGCGAACATAAACAAAGAACAAGTACTGCGATCTTACCAAGGAATTACGTTAATATGGGGAATATGGGTTCTTCGAAATCGGCTTTTTTCAGCAATGAAGAGAAGCTACAGTTGCTAAATGGAAACTGTCCACATAATCTTACTAAGGATCACTAACGATTTGGGCTTCCTTACCGCACTGGAATTCTGGCTAGAGATGGAAGTGCTTCAACTGCTGGAACCAAACGTGAGCTCGTTTTCAGGTATTGTGTATTGACAATAATCTCACTTTGATTTTTCTTATCAAGTAGGCATGTTTTTCTCGGGTAGCTCTATTCTCTTTTCAGAGTTGTAAGCTACTTGAAGAATTGCTGGGAGAACGATTTTATTGACAAATACAAACATCTTCGACCTCACATTTCCAATGCATCTGTTCCAGCCAATTCGCCAGCTCAGAACCCACCAGAATTCCCACAAGCAGCGAACTGGCAGCCTATCTTACAAGTTTGAAAAAGCTTTCCTTTGTTTACTATTGTTTCAAGTGGTGATGAATGAATATCATTGTGTTTTTATGTTTCATTTAACTCGAGGTCTGCAAAATTGGTGCATGTTTGCTTAAGTGTAGATTTCCCAGACTGTGATCTATCAAGAGGTGCTTTCTTCGAAGGCCTTTCTCGGTTGAAACTGAATATATATCGTAGGGATAAATTCTGGTTTCGAGTATACTCTGTTGTCACTTATAGTTTTCTGGAAACATTCTGTAGAAAAATGAGCACTGCATAAGTAGGAATTCTTTGTGATGGGAGTGTTCTCTTGCTTGATTTTTATCAAGCACGTTTGAAGTAATGCTTTGTTCTTGATAGGCAGAGAATGCCGAGATAATCCAGTACACCCTGGTTTATTGCTACAGTTGACACAGCCGTATGCTATGAAGTGTCTCGTCATAAAAAGGTTGAAATCTTTCTTTAAAGGCACGATTAAACTGTAATAACAGCCACTGTGGGGATACAAAATGGTTGAGTAGCAAGCGTTTTTAACTCGTGGATACGCGTAGCGTAGTTTGTAGATTTTGGCCGTTTTGGATTGGCCTCTCATTCTCAGCTTTCTTGACTTTTATAGGCTCAAAAGATATCGCGAACAAAAGCAGTTGCGAACAGTATTTTTCGAAGATTTCGAGGAGATATTTGGACTTTTAGGAAGGATCATAGCTAGATATTCGAATTCAACTTACGCAAAAAAGAAAGGACAGGGGCTTAGTGACATGACAAGGGGGGAGAAAAATTAAAACACCAAAAATTTATCAAAATTAACTTTATTTGACATTTTAAATCTAAACTCCTAGAACTAGTTCTAGCCTTCTTTTTGGCGCAAACATGTTTACTAGTGTCCGCATCCAGTTTTTTTAGTAGATCTCTCTCCAATGAGATAATTGGCATTGATAACAGCCTCTGTTGTGTCATGGTCGATCTCAGGTAGCTTTTAATTAGCTTTAGCTTTGACAAGGATCTTTCAGATGAACGTGATGTGATAAGTATTGTTATCAAGTATTGCTGAAAATGTTATGTAATTCAGGTAATGTAACATTGTATCCTTTAGTGTGCAACCTCAATCATCGACTTAAAATCTTTGAACTCTTTGCTCTACTTGAATCGTTGAAGTGAAAACTTTGTATTCTTTATTACCTTTTCGACGGCCACGTCTGATTTATTGAAAATTGCTAACTCTTGTATGCTTGAAATGGCACCCTGCTTCATATCGTCATATTTTTTTGTTACAAAAGTGCTTGGGAGAAAGAGCCCACGTATGTTCTTCAGAACTCCTTTCGAATTCTCGTTAAATCTGGTCTTGAATTCTAAGGTAAGATGGTCAAGAATCTCATAATAAAACTAAGCACGATAATTTCAAGAATAGGACCTTCTTTCCAACAGTAGTGTCCATGCAACCGTAAAAACTCCCAATGAATGTCCAGCAAAGTTACAGATATATGGCACAATTCCGTCTGTGATTGCAGACTCAAAAAGGTCTAATTTCTTGAGATTTTGTGCTGTCTTAAGGACTTGACTTTAAGGGTCATTGTTTAATTTTGTCCATGAAATATTCAAGACCTTCAAAGTAGAAAATTTTCCCAGAAATAATGCTACAGTGAGTGATTTCCCACTCAGTTCAAAGCAGTTAAATGTATTCAAATTACATACCTTCGTCGAAGATCTCAGGATTACCTCAAGACTCTTATCGTCAACTCATTTCTCTTTTACGTATGAGAAATTTAACTGCCTCAGCAAAGTTGATCTTGACAAAGATCTCTCCACGCTCGGCAAACCAGCTTTAACCTACGCCGTTCTTCAAATTCAATACAGCTAAAAATATTGAGTAAAATTTCGGGTAGAAGTGCTTCCATTGCCTTTGATAAAAACTTTGGAATAGGCTCTGGCCAAACTTTTACAGGATCTGATTGGCTGAACAATATGCCGCATGCTATTTTTAGGTTGGTATGTGGGAATGATGAGTTCGTAGCAACTAGATAAAATGAAACTTTATAGAAGATCTTAAGAGATATTCCCATAAGGCCCCTACGTTTAAGAAGGTACAAACTTTTAATGTAAGTGAAACCCCTCTATGCCGGACACTACTGGGAGGAGGAAATTTCCGGTTGAGCGGGGGTTCCGGTATACTGAGGTTTTCTTAATAACCATTAAAATAGTCTTTTTAATGCAGTATTCAATGAGTTTATTGTAGATTAACACTTATAAATACAAATATCATCATATTTATAATACATGTGAATTTAAAATTATTAAAAGCCTTACGTAGTTATTAAGAATATCGTGTGAAAAAAGAGTCTATTTTAGATTGAAATTTCTTACAAATAAGTTCAACAACTTTTTTTTCAGCCATGCTTTCGATTTCAAGGGCAAATTTTAAAAATCTTTGTCTTTTTCAATTGCAAAATTCTAGAACTGCAATGCCATGCGAAGTACTTCATGTGTAAAACTGCATTCTGGAAACTTGTCAGTACTGTCCGTATTAATCTCGTCCTCATCGTCACTCAATGTTGGTTCGTTTTCATCATTCTTAGCAGCAAAATTGCTAACAAGATCCTTCTCCCAATCGCCCGTGTCATCTTCTGTTGGCGCTTCGTGGTCGACGTTCTCTAACAAAGAGTTGAGTCTAAGGCGTTCAGCAAGACATCAAAGAGGAATATCGTTGTCTTCTTCTTCAGTTGAGCTATTTTCGTCTTCGTTGACAGTTGAGAAACCCGATGCAGCAAAGCACTTTGTGATTGCAGTGGGGTTGGTTTCAGTCCAAGATTTCGATATCCAGTTTACACAGTCAAGCAAAGTTATTTCCTTGCAAAGGGCAGTCGCACCCTCTGCATCATCTATCTTGCTCAGAAGTGATCTCGATAAATGTTTCTTGTATCGTGCTTTAAAAGCACGGATAATGCCTTGATCTAGCAGCTGCAAGTGTGAAGTTGTGTTCGGTGGCAAAAATTTCAATGTTACATTTGAAAGCTCATAATCATCTGACCCATGGGAAGAGGCATTATCCAAGAACATTAAGATGTGACGTCGTTTCTTCTTCATTTCCTTGTTGACATCTTTAATCCATGATATAAAGATGTCATTTGTCATCCATGCCTTTTTGCTGTTGACATATGTAACGGGCAATTGTTCAGTATTTATGTTCTTAAAACATCGCGGCTTTCGTGATTTACCGATCACCAATGGCTTTAGCTTCTCACCGGTTGCACTACAAGCAAACATTGTTACTTTTTCTTTTGATGCCTTTGTTCCTTTAGTGTTTTCTCCTTTAGCGGACAAAGATTTGTTTGGCAGAGCTCTGAAGTACAAGCCGGTTTCGTCGCAATTAAATATGTTTTCTGGTAAATATTCTTCTACAATACCTGGAATTCTCTGCTTGTATTCATCTACTGTTTCAGTGTCAACTTCAGCACTTTCCCCGCAGATCTGAAATGCTTTGATATAATAGCAAGGTTTCCACCGATCGAGCCAGCTGTTTGATCCCTTGAAGTTAGCAATGTCTAACTCCTTTGCAAACTGACAAGCTTTCTCTTGAATAATCGGACCAGAGATTGGAATGTTCTTTGATCGTGCACGCTGAAACCACTGCCAAGTGAGATCGTTTAGACGTTCGTATTTGCAGTTGTTGTTAAATCGTTCTGGCCGTTGCTGTTTTTCTCGTACTCTTCCTCGTAGATTTCCTTCTTCAGAATATCGCTAACAGTAGACTTTCCGATGCCAAATTCTTCACTGAGGGTCTTTTGAAGTTGGTTTTGGGATTCTTTCATATGAGTTGATCAAGCTAATTCGCTTTTCTAAGGATAACTCAATTCGTTGCACAGGTCTTGACAYGTTTACTTTTGCAAGTCTAATGCTTAAGTGAGTAACTGTCTGTTTGGCAATAAATTTATAAATTTATTGCAAACCTACTAACAAAAGAATAAACAACCAGCTGGCAATTATACTTTACACTTAGTTTGTCGCAGCAATACCTTTTGTGGTCGCGGTTCTCACCTTTTTCACGCTAATCAAATCCCTTGTTATGTAATCTTTCTCGCACAATAAAATTCCGGTTCACGCCAAGACGACGCTGGCAGTGTTAATCTTTTGTTTTCGATTTGAATAGCTCAGACAAAGGTACGTTAATCCGGATTAGCGGGGGTTGAATTCCATTGTCAAATAGCGTTTGGTACCGAAATTATCGTCCGGTTTACGGAATAGAGAGGTTCCGGTTTACTGAGGTTTATTTTACAAAAAATATATGGGAAACATTTCCGGACCAAAACTTTTGTCCGGTTTATAGAGAATTCCGGTATACTGAGGGTCCGGTATAGAGGGGTTTCACTGTATAAATATTCTAGTTGCAAAAAGTGATATCATTAGCAAAGCAGTTTAGAGAATCAATTTACTTTAGCGTTGAAACAAGGTAACACCTCATCAAAGAAGAATATCATCGATCTGACAATTTTAGGGGGCCCCCTTGGGGATGTTAGAACAGGATTTTTTAATTTGAAATTGTCTGTAAATTTCGCTATACACCATTAAAGTTGTGTTGTTTAAAACATGAGGAACTTTGAAAAGTATAGTGGTTTTCTCATTAAAACGGAATGAAATACGTATACTAAAGCTGGAATTCTTATACATTTTTCTATTGTAAAGTAATCCCTCAAATATTTTGAAAGTCCACATTAAGAAAGCGAAGCGCATGCTCGGAAGCCATGTTGCACCGGATTTCTACTAATAAAATAATTTTGAAAATCCCAGAACTTGGCTTTGTGGGTTACCTCTCTTAATGATCCTTTATCTGCAATGGATGTCTGGTCTTGAAGACTGTGGTCTTGGGAACTGAATGCAGGCCT